CTACTCTTCTTCTTCTTCTCCCTAGCGTTAGTCCCGCGCAGTCGCAGGGTCCGCTGTCTTTGTCAGTCGTCGCCACTTTGCTCTGTCCAGGGCATCTTCTGCTGTGGCCATGACTTCACTTAGGTCCTTCTTGATACGTCCTTCCACCTCTTCTTTGGGGCTCCTCGCGGTCGCTTGCCTTGCACTTCGAAGTCCATCGCTTTCCTTATCGGGTGGCCTGTGGCCTCCTTAGCACATGCCCATACCATCGCAGTCGCTGTTCCCTCACCTTCAGCTGGACAGGGGCAGTCTGCATGACCGCTCTGACATCCTCGTTCCTGACCCTGTCCAGTCGCGTCCAGCCGCAGGCCCACCTCAGCATCCTCATCTCAGCGGAGTGAAGCTGCCTTTCGTGATTCTTGTTCAGGGGCCAGCACTCGCTGCCGTAGAGCATCGCAGGCCTTACCACTGTTCGGTACACCTTCCCTTTGAGCGCTCTGGAGCACCTTCGGTCGCAGAGGATTCCAGTGGACTCCCTCCATTTCATCCATGCCGCGTTGATCCTCCCCATTACTGCCTGGTCCACACTGCCGTCGGCCGCCAGATCACTCCCAAGGTATCGGAAGTCCTCTACTCTTTCGATGCTTTCACCATGCCCGTCCATGATCGGCTCTGCACCCTCTTCAGAACTCAGGAACTTGGTCTTCTTAACATTCAGCCGTAGTCCGCCTTCTGCCAGGACCTTCTGCCATTGCTGCACCTTGGCCTGTAGTTCCTCTCTACTATCCGCTATCAGGGCGATCGTCTGCGTAGAGGATAGTATTTAGCGGTCCTCCCATGAGCCCATTCACCAGGACATCTAGTGTCAGGTGGAAGAGGAACGGGCTCAGAGCTGACCCTTGGTGCACCCCAACCGTGATGTCCACTTTCTTCGTTAGGCCGTGTGGGGTGCGTATAGCTGCCTTCGCCCCATCGTACATATCCTTCACCAGTGAGACCAGGTGTTCTGGCCGTTCTCAAACGCACCAAACTTCTGCTTTAT